TGACCCTGTCTAGGGTTTCCAAGGAGTAGCTGGTGGATTTGAACTGCCAACCTTGCTGTTCAAACTGACCTTACTATGCTTATCCTACAGCACCACTCTGGGACCTATGGTGGTAGTGGTGGTGATGTGCTGTAGTGTCGGTTCCAACTCATAGCAACCCTGTATAGAGTTTCTGAGGCTATAAATCTTTACTGGAGCAGAAAGCCTCATCGTTCCCCCATGGAATGGCTGGTATTTTCGAACTGCTGGCCTTGAGGTTAGCAGCCCAATTCGTAACCACTATCCTACCTATTCTAGATATTTCATTTAAGTGGGACCGTGTAATGCTTGTTCTTTTGTGGCTGACTTATTTCACTCAGCATGATGTAGAATTTCCATTTTATCCTTTTTATAGTTTTTAATACTCTACTGAGAGTCTCGTAGCACAATTCTTGGACATTTAACCATAGTCTGAAGTCTGTCTCTGATCACTCCAGTGTTGGTACCTCCTATGGATTAGTTTCACTTATCTTTTATTTTGTTCTCTTGACTTTCAGTCATCTGATTTTGTCTCCTGTTAATGCCTGGTGATTTTTGAAAAAGAACATTTAACATTCCTATCTTTTAAACATCATGTATGAAAAGTTGTGGAGATAATTTGAGACTCTGGGTGATTTTGTCTTTCTACAGATGAAAATAGCTCTGACAAGCACTAGGATGACTGGCTGAAAGCTGGGTTTTAGTCTTTGTGAGGACTGAGTTACCTCATGTTTCTCTCCACAGTAAGAGTATAATCACCAATGTTCCAAGGAGAAAGCCTGGGATATTCACTAGCCATGGCTTCTCCTCTCTGGTGAGTCCTGACTTCAATTTTTGTCCCACTGCCCTGCAAGAAGGCTAGAATGTCTGCATAGCCCCTCGGCTGGCCACCCACTCATTTCCTCAAAGGGCTTGAAGAGAAAGTGCCCGGGTGTTGAGTTTACCTTGACTCTCCTTAATTTGGGATATTATCCCTCAGAGAAAGTACCCGGGTGTTGAGTTTACCCTGACTCTCCTTCATTTCTGGATCTTATCCCTCATGTGCTCACTGTCTTGATGGCTATGTAATGACTTCAAAAAGAATTTGTGTATTTTTTCAGCTAGTCGTGTTCAAGAATAAGGGGCACCTGACTCAAGTCATAGTGTTTCCACTCATCTCATATGCAAGGAGCTCTGGTAGCATAGTGGTTACGAATCAGGCTGTGAACCACAAGGTCAGCAGTTTGAAACTAACTGCTGTTCCGCAGGAGAAAGATGAAGCTTTCTGCTCCTGTAAAGATTTACAGCTTTGGAAACCCTGTACAAAATGACGCTATGGGTCGGAACCGACTCCTTGGCACGTAACCACCATATGCAAGTGAAAGTTGGACAACGAATAAGGAAAAACAAAGGAGAATGGATTCATTTGAGTTATGATTTTGGAGAAGAATGTTGAATGCACCATGAATCGCCGGAAAAACAAACAAGTACAGTCAGAATGCTCCTCAGAAGCAAGAGTGGTCAGACTTCATGTCTCATACTTCAGACATGTTATCAGGAGGGTAAAGTGGAGGGTCGGAGAACAAAGGAAGACCCGTTAGGAGATGGACGGACACAGTGGCAGCAACAGTGGGTTCAAACATAACAACAATTGTGAGGATGTGCAGGACCAGGCAGGGTCTGTTCTGTTGTTCACAGGGTTGTTGTGAATCGGAACTGACTCGACAGCACCGAACAACAACAAGAAATCAGGAAGCACTGCTCCTAGGATTGCTGTTCATACCTCGGGGGTAATTCCAACCTAACTGTGCTCAGTGGATGGCTGCAGACAAGTCCTCTCAGCAGTATTCAGTCTTCGTCTCCTTAGGGAGCCCTCAGAAAAGAAGAGCCATGGGGACCAATGGCTTCCATGGGAATCTCTTGGAACAGTTCAATTCAAGGCTGAGAGGTCAACTCAAAAGGCGATGGCAGCTCTGTGTGTGTGTGTGTGATTCCAAAGGGTCATCTCGACACATTTTCTCAAAGGGCACAGGATGATCATAAGGGGTTATTAACAACAAGATTTAAGAAAATTTAAAACTGCACTGATGAGAAAAAGGCCAGGAAACTTTCACCAAGGAATTTATTTTTCCATCACAGCAACGTCCTTGTTCATTCTTTGAGGGTAGTAAGAACTGCCCTACAAAAATTTCACTGGGAAACTTGACCCCATCCACTCTGCAGCTCTGATCTTGTCCCTTCAAATATCTTTTTGTTCCCCAGACTGAAAAAACACTGAAAAGGAACACATTTTGAGTTCTTCAAGGATGCCAATACTGCCAGTTCATTGTGATCTAAATAAAAAAGTGCAGAATTTGGGGAAAAGGCTCCAGAGAAGGAGACATTGCCTTTAGAAGTTTATAGACCTAGATGGAGCATATGCGGAGAGGCAATGACATCACGTTTTGATGTTTTTGTTGATAAATACTTCCATAGGGTCGCTTTGAGTTGGAACTGACTCCACAACACTTAACAACAACAAAGGTGGCCATGATTTTGAGCAATCTTTTTTACTTATCTTCATACACTGTGGTTCACCTTCATGAGGAAGCAGTGGGGAAAGCTGGAAAAACATGACGTTAGTTTCTTTGTGTTGATAATGAAATATCAGCAAGAATTTAAATTACATGGCAAAACCCAGATTCAGAATGTTGCATGTGGTATAATTTCCTGTGTGAACACACATGCACACACATCCAGAAGAAAGCAGTAGAGGTCAGAAGAAATTAACCTGATGCTGTTGAGTTGACTGCTAGTGATGGCGCCCCCGTGTGTGTCAGAGGAGAACTGTGCTCACAGGGTTCTCAGTGGATGATGTTTCATAAGTAGATCCCACTCATGGTGCCCTGTGTGTGTCAGAGTAGAACTGTGCCCACAGGGTTCTCAGTGGATGATGTTTCATAAGTAGATCCCACTCATGGTGCCCCCGTGTGTGTTAGAGTAGAACTGTGTCCCACAGGGCTCTCAGTGGATGATGTTTCATAAATAGATTCCACTCATGGTGTCCCCATGTGTATCAGAGTAGAACTGTGCCCACAGGGTTCTCAGTGGATGATTTTTCATAAGTAGATCCCACTCATGGTGTCCCCGAGTGTGTCAGAGTAGAACTGTGCTCACAGGGTTCTCAGTGGATGATGTTTCATAAGTAGATCCCACTCATGGTGCCCTGTGTGTGTTAGAGTAGAACTGTGTCCCACAGGGCTCTCAGGGATGATGTTTCATAAGTAGATCCCACTCATGGTGCCCCCGTGTGTGTCAGAGTAGAACTGTGCCCACAGAGTTCTCAGTGGATGATGTTTCATAAATAGATTCCACTCATGGTGTCCCCGAGTGTGTCAGAGGAGAATTGTGCCCCCACAGGGTTCTCTGTGGATGATTTTTCATAAGTAGATCCCACTCATGGTGTCCCCCCATGTGTGTCAGAGTAGAACTGTGCCCCACAGGGTTCTCAGTGGATGATGTTTCATAAGTAGATCCCACTCATGGTGCCCGTGTGTGTCAGAGTAGAACTGTGCCCACAGGGTTCTCAGTGGATGATGTTTCATAAGTAGATCCCACTCATGGTGCCCCCGTGTGTGTCAGAGGAGAATTGTGCCCCATAGGGTTCTTAGTGGATGATTTTTCATAAGTAGTTCTCCAGGATTTTCTTCAGGTACGCCTCTAGGTGGACTTGAATCTCCTGCCTTTGGTTAACATACTCATTTTACTGCCCAAGGACCAGAGGAGGTTAGAAGGAGGAAAGGATTTTTATGTATGCTACAATTTTACTGACTGCAGAGGCCATGAGAACACATACAGCACCTGTTTTACTCTGTCTTACCATCTTATGTCAGCTGGTAGTACTTCTCCAAACGTTAGTGGGGGTCAACTCAAGGTAGGGGAGCTCTGAGGCCACTGCCCTCACGCTGGGCATGCAGGCCTGGCTCTGGGCTGTCTCCACGCAGGCTCAGGCCTGCTCTGGGCGTCTTCACGGAGACATGGATTTCTTACCCCGCAGCCGCAGAACCAGAGGCTTCCGCTGTCATGAAGGCTGGGTCTGCCTGTTCCACTGATCACAGCCTGCCCAGTTCTGAGGGGAGGCACGGAGGACCAGCCTCCCAGTGGACAACTGACCTGCCACAAATGACAAGCACAGCTCACATTTATGGAGCACCCACTGTATGCACAGCCTCGCTCTAAGCTACGATCCCCCCACTTGGAGGGTACAGATAGTACCAGAGGCCCGCGCACACGCCTTCCCAGACCCCGTCGCAGCACCACGCTGCCCTGGGACGCATGATCCGAACCAGGCTCACCCTCTGGGCGGACGTGGCCTCCCTCGCTCGGCGCTCAGCGTTACTGAAACCTTTGGTTCTGTTTCAGCGCAAAGAGTTCCAGCACAGACAGCACGAGGCCGATTTGGCGGCGACCCCTCTGAAGGTACAAGTGTGTCAAATCAGCCTGGAACTGACGGCCCTTTCTTACTGACGATGCGGTGTCACTGGGCGTGGGTCAGAGGGGCAGCTGAATCCCTGCACCCCAGGGACCTGCAGACCACAGTCCCTGTGAGCCGGGTCCTCTCCCAGAACCCACACCCAGAGCCTTGTCCTGTAAATCGTCCTGAGCGGCTCTGGGTATCCGGGCTCGAGTGGCACCCGCATCTCCTTGCATCCTCACAGCAGTCCTGGGATTCGAGGTGTGGAGGAGATGCTCATGGGGTTCCCTGAGTCTGCAGCTCCTAGGGCAGTGAGGGCCACCAGGGGTGGGGACAACAGGTTGTGAGGGAGCCCTGAGCTGCTCCCCAGCCTTGCAATCCCCCCATGGGGGACCTTCCACCCGTTCAGGCCCTAGGAGAGCCCTACATCCTTTCAGGATTCTGAGCATGCCACCCATACCCCCATGTCCTATGTGAGCCCCGTACCCCCATGCCCTGTGTGAGCTCAGCCCCCCACCGTTCTGTGTAAACCCTGTAACCTCTCATGTTTTCTATGACCCCTGCACTCTCCCATGTCCTATATGAGCCCTGTCCCCCATGTCCTGGGGGAGCCCTGAGCACCACCCCACATCCTGCAGGAGCCCTGCACCTCCCACACCCCATGGAAGGCTCTGCCCCTCCAGCCACCTCTTCCTCATGCTCTCAGGCCAAGGTGGCGTCCCTGGTCCGAAAGTGCCAGGAGCGGAACGGCCTGATCACCCACCTGCTACGGGAGCTGCAGAGACACGGGGCTGCCAGCCTGCCCCTTGCCGAGTGTGCACAGAGCATGGTGGCTGATGAGGCGCTGGCCCAGTATGCTGCCACCTTCCTGACCACAGGTGTCCAAGAGGTAGGTCCCTGATGCCCTGTCCCTGTTCCACAGGGGGCGAGGACACACCCACCTGCACTTCCCTCTCCTCCCTCCTATCTGCTAGCTCCGCCCACGCCCCAGGACACACCCACCTGCACTTCCCTCTCCTCCCTCCTATCTGCTAGCTCCGCCCATGCCCCAGGACACACCCACCTGCACTTCCCTCTCCTCCTTCCTATCTGCTAGCTCCGCCCACGCCCCAGGACACACCCACCTGCACTTCCCTCTCCTCCCTCCTATCTGCTAGCTCCGCTCATGCCCCAGGTGCGGGTACACAGGTTCTGAGCTAGAACAGAGAACGAAGCTGTTCACCATCCTCTCCAAGTGCCTCAGGCGTGATGCAGCACACACACTCTCACACGCATACACACTCACTCACACATGAACACACTCACAAAACAGACTCATCACACGCATTTCCTGGCCTTTGATTCACCACACTGCTACACTCCTTTCCTGCATCCGCGGGGACTTTGCTCCTATCCATCCTTCAAGGCCCAGCCTGGCGTGGCCTTGCCCAGAGTCACAGACCTGGCCATGCCCTGGTCCGTGCTTCTCCGGATAGGCCAGCCAATACAAGGGGTTTTCCTTGAGCCCCCTCCCCATGCAGGAGTCTTATCTGCCCTTCTGTACTGGCGATTGACTGTCTGTGGCCCAGTGCCTGGTGTGGACACCCACTGGGGAATGTTAGCTGAGTGAGTGAAGCGATGAAGGACTCGAATGAATGTCCAAATGGCCAACCAGTGAGAGAACCAAGGCTCAGACGGGTGGAGGACCGCCAGGCAGGGACCCTAGTCTGAGGACAGAGATCCTGAGCATGCCAGCAGGCATCTGCCCACATGCACAGGCTCTGCCCCTGGGGACCTGCAAGCAGTGCCCAGCAGGCCAGCTCGGACCTCATGATTCAGTTTCTACAGAAACACAACTGGGTTGTGTCCACACTGGCTCCCGCCCTCCCTCCAGACTGCCTCCATCAGCCTGGCCCCCATGGCTGACAAGCCAGCTCTCTCACACTTCCCTTCCCCATGGCCTTCTGAGTGGTGGCGTCCCTGCTAAGGGTCAGACTCCCTTTGTTCCAAGGGCTCACACCTCCTAAGAGTTAGCAGGGTTAGGGAAAGAGATTCGAGTCTTATTTAAGAGGCACCTGCTACAGTCCCAGGGATTCCATGGGGGTCAGTTAACTGTGTGGGAGTGAGACAGGACTGAGAACAAAGCTTCAGAGCAGGTGTTGGATGCAGAATGCCATCGGAGGGCCAGCTGTCTATCTGTCTGCTGAGACCTTCACCTTCCAAGGGCTCTTTCTTAGTTGTGCAGATTCTGAAACTGGAACTTAAGTGTTTAGACAGGATGACTCATAATGACCAAACACACAAAGACTAATGTACAAACCTGAATGTCCATTTATTAATTTCCTGTGAGAAGTTCAACTATTGCACAAGTGGTGGTAGATTATAATATGTCTGCATATTCTCCCACTATTGGCAAATTATCTGGAAAATCAAATGCCTTCATACATTTCTTCATCAGTAAACATTCTATTCTGAGACCACTCAGGAGGCTGGAATGAAAACGGGGGATTTTAAGGCACAGGTCTGGTGCATCATTTCTCTTCTGTGCAGACCTGGACATGCCTGCCCATTGGATTAGGGTCTCTCCCAGATCCACAGAGAGACTGCACCCATTCTAAGCTACTAGGAGGGCCAATCGCTCTGCCCTGTGCACCCTTCAGTCATAACATTGCAACCTCAGGCCCTAGTCTTAGCTTGGTTCTCATCTGTTCCCTCCTTCTAAGAGACTTTGATTCTGCCGTGATCCAATTTTCATTACAGGAAGTCCATGGGGTAGGAAAGCCCTCGTCTTATACAAACCATCCCCTGGGAAGCCTTTTATGTTGAAGATTCACGGTCTATACAATGGTTTGCAATAACACACAGGAGTTACTTTGTGATGCCCATGAAAACATTAGTATTGCTGTATTATTGTGTTGGAGTCCTGGTGTGCGGTTGTTGGATAAGCACTGGACTGTAAGGTTGGTTTGGATCTCAAGGTCGGCGGTTCAAACCCACCAGTCGCTCCTTAGAAACCCTACACAGGGTTGCTATGAGTTGGAACCTAATCAACAACAACATTATTGTGTTACAGATGTTTTAGTGTATCTGGAATTGTTTATTTGATGTTTATTATGCATGTGGTACATTGTGGGTTACTGTACTGGACTACAAGGTCACTTTGAACTGCAAGGTCAGCAGTTCAAGCTCACCAGCCACTCCTCAGAAATTCTATACAGGGTCACTGTGGGTCGGAACCAACTTAATGACACTTAACAACAACAACAATGCCTATGCTACTTATACCGAGGAGCGTCATTGCTCTGTAGGATAAGCGCTGGACTGTGAACCACAGGGTCAGTGGTTCTAGCCCACTGGCTGCTCCAAGGGAGAAAGATGAGGCTTTCTGCTCCCACAAAAGATTTAAAGCTTTGGAAACCTTAGACAGGGTCGCCATGGGTTGAAACCAACTCAGTAACACCTAACAACAGCAACAACAGTTAAACCACATACTAAGACTAACGCACATCAGACACTAACTGTACCTAACCACTTATGTACAAATTCCAATGACAGACACACTTGGGAACAGGACTTGCTTGTAATCAATCCAGCGATGGCACCTAATATACAGTTCAGCCCTCCTATTCATGATGGGGGGTGTGAAGGGGGAAAAATCCTGTTCCCTCCGGGAGCCACAAACCTTCCTCTCCCAATGTCTGCTGTTCCCGGTGTGATGTCCAGCCCGGGAGAAGTGGTGGGCAGACAGACAGGGCAGTGGAGACCAGAGTTTTGTGAAGGAGGCCTGTGTGCCACATAAGTGTTTGGGGACCAAATCTCAATTTCTTTGTGCCTCAGTTTTCTCATCTGTAAATGGGTAGGAAAGGCTACTGGGCAGAGCTGTGGTGAAGACTAAGCTAAGTAACTTGCACAATGTAGGCAATAGCAAGGGTGTGGGGTTCTGGGAGCCTGGACTCAGGTCCAGACACTGCTGCTCTGTGACCTCATGGGGCATACTGACCACACCATTACTGAGCTAGGCTCTGTCCTCAGGGCTCTAGGCCAGTTAGCGTGTGAGGATCCCACTTTCCAGATGGGTAAACTGAGGCTCAGAGGGGCAGAAACCTTGGCCAAGGGCACACAGCCCTGGTGGCTTTCTGACTCGGGCTCTTCTGTGTCTGGTGATTTTCCGAAGCAGCTGAGTGGGGTTTCATGTGTGGTCTGCCCACAGCTACTGCCGTTGTCATCCTGTGACTTGGGGCAGGGTGCCGGGCTCCAGCACCCTCCTCCACATTCCTGCCGCATCAACCAGCCAGGCCGGGTGGTAGGGTCAGCTGGATGGCATCACAGCTGGGCTGCCCTGCAGGTGGGCAGCTGCCTTGTGAGGGGTGGGACTGCAGTTGGAACAGGAGGAGGAGGTGCTCAGCAGGGCTGGGTCAGCCAGCAGACAGACCCCTTCCCTCTGCTTCCTCCCAGGCTCCAGGCAGCACCATGGACAGCAGAGCCTTCTCTCTAGCTGCAGGGCTGGGGCAGGATCCAGAGACGCAGTTGGAATACCCAATGGTGCCCGGTGGGAGTTGGTTCAGGGCTGCCTGTAGGCTGGGGGTACTGGTGGACATGAGGGTCCTGGAGCACAGAGGCTGGCAGGGTTCCTGGGAATGTCCCTGGGGATTCACCCTGACCTAGATGTCTGGGAACAGTGCAATGCTCGTTCCTTCCTTCCTTCCTTCGTTCATTTATTTATCACTAGTTGGCTCATTCATTCATGTGCTCATTCATCGGTTCACTTGGAGTAGTGACCCAGAGATCTGAAGGACCCTTCCTCATGCTGCCCTTTCTGCTGATGAGCTCACTCAGGGTCCCATCGAGGGCTGGGGCTGCGCTGGGTCTGTGCGCTTCAGGACGGATGCCTGGCAGCCAGGGCATGAGAGCCGCCTCCCCTCATGGACCCCAACAGTGGTTTTTCCACTCACACTCGGGAGTGTCTGAGTGACTCGTGGGCAGAGCAGAGCGTTCCCTGACTCAGAACCTTTCCGTTATCTTTAGGGTATGTGTGAGTGACCGAAGGACAGGGGAGGAGGGGAACCCAGACATGGATCCCTGCAGGGCCTGAGGTATGTCTGAGTGGCTCCATGAACGTGGGGGTGGGGAGGGGACAGAGCCTGGACTCAAGACTCATGTGTCACTCTTAGGGTGTATCTGAGTGATCAGTGAACCCAGAACCCAAGCATCACCTTTAGGGTGTGTCTGAATGACCAATGGACACAGCAGAGGGAACCCAGACATGGATGTTGGGGTGGGGTGGTCCTGGGGTAGGAGAGTTCTTCCATTTGATACTCAGAACTTGGTGTTACCCTTAGGGAGTGTCCGAGTAACAGTGGACGTGGGGTCAGGGGTGGACCTGGACTCTGAGCCCTTACACCGCTCTTAGCGAGTGTCCAAGTGACCGACAGATGTGAGGCGGAGTCACAGTGGAGTGGACCTCCAGGTCACTCAAGCTCTCCTGGGACGGAGTGAGATGTGTCATTAGCTCCCCCTAACTGCCCCCCTTCTTTGAGGCGTGGGGGCTCTCACCTCTCTATGCAGAACCCCCAGTCTGGGAGCTCCGGGGGTGGATCTCCAGGCCCTGGAGACCTTTCCCCACCTTGTCTGGACCTCTGACAGAGTTCAAGGGACGTGAGGACAGAGTCCTGGTCACTGGAGCATACAGGTCTCTCCTGCTCCCAGTACAAAGATTCCTCACCCTAAAGAATCACCCACCGTGACCTGCCCTTCACCTCCAAGTCAGGTTCCTCTTAGGTTGGGGTATCTGCGTGTCTCAGAAAAATCTCTGTCAAACACTTAGCCCAGCCAACCCCCTCCCCTCCCCCCACAGCCCACCACCCCACCACAGGGTCCAGGCAGCTACCAAAACATGTTTCCTCACTGGGG